ATGTTTGGAAMACCCAGAAGTGAGATCCCCCTGGCTCTCGGGGCATTTTCCTGTCCTCAGGGTCAGGTTTGCACCCAGCAGGGAGAACAGACTGAGAAGGGAGGTGTGGATCCACGAGGAGGGTGGAAGTTTGGGGAGAATTCTCAATTTTTCTCACTCCCTGTGGGATTTCAAGGGACTCACACAGCTCAGGAATGCCAGGACTGGATCCAGAGCTGTGGATACCAACAGTTCCCACCAGCTTTAAGAAAAGCTGGRATTTTGGGCTGGTCCTGGCAGGCAGATGCAGCAGAGCAGGGCCTGGATTTGGGATTTTCTATTGCATTTCAGCTGCGGCCATCAGGTGGCAATCTGACCACTGGGATCATTCTGAGCTYCAGGCACTTTGGGGTGGGTGCTCCTGGGGCTTCCCGAGGTTTTTTTGTGATTTGGGGTCGTGCCTGCCAAGCTCTGGGCTGTGCCTGCTGCCTGCAGGGCACAGTGGGATGGGGGTCCAGCAGAATTCCCAGTGGAGAAAGGGCAGAATGGAGGGCAGGGATTCCTTAGAATTCTCCAGAATTAAGGTGAGATGAGCAGCAAAGCACCCCGAGGTGATGGATCCTGCCTGCAGCAGTTAAATGCATCCTTAATGGGAATATTTCCTCCTTGAATAGGGCTGTGTTTTGATGGTTTGATCCAGCTCCTCTGCTCTACAAAGGGTTCTGAAAATAGCATTTCTTTTTGATGGTGAAACATTCTGAGGCCCCAGCAAATGGAGACAGAATCCTGTCCTCCCCAGAGTCGGAAATGCAGGTGGTCTTGTTGGCTGGAGGTGTGAAATAAAGAGTCATGGAATTACAGACTGGTTTGGGTTGGAGTGACCTCAAAATGAACCAATTCCGACCTCGCTGCCACGAGCAGCTCCCACCAGACCAGGCTGCTCAATGCCCCTCAAGATGTTGCTCAAAGTGCTCAAATCTTCCCTGCCTCCTTTCTCACCAGGCATTATATCAAGAATTGCTTGGTTTGGTTGGTTTTTCTTCCCTGGAGAAGATTTTTCRAGGAAAATTGTGCTGTGCAGGAAGCTCAGGACATCCATGGAGCTGTAGAGGGGGTGGTGGTGCCTCTCCTTGGGTTGGAAAAGGTGTTTGAGGTCACCCCACTGCYCTTCCTGCAGAGCCAGAAAACAGAAACAAATCCCAGGGAACTCCTGGCCTAATGAATATTTTCCTGACAATATTTTATATTATAATATCATTATTATGTGTTATAATAAGCACATAACCAGCAGTTCTAGAGAGCATGGAGGTTTTAATGCTCAGATGTGATTCTAAACTCACAGCTAGGAAGGAGCTGCAAAGTTTGGATAATGATGTAAAAACCCCTTCCAACAGCCAGTTAATCCCTAAGGAAAAAGCACCTGTTGGTCTGTCCCTGTGTGGTTCCATTCTCAGCTACAAAATCAAAATTCACGGTGAATATTTGTATTTTCTACTCTTCTGTTCCAGTATTTCCCTTGGGCCTGAGGCTCCAGGCTCTGAAAGTGTGACTTCAGTGTGTGCCTGTCATTCTTCTTGCTTAGGAAAAAAAAACCAAAACCAACCTGGGTTTCACACAAATGTTGAATTATCCAGCCCAGATCATGAAACTCAAGCTTGTGTTGGTGACCAGGCACCGCCTGCCCAWTAGAAATTAATTCCCAATGAAGAAGTCAAAGAAGCTCTTTGCAGCCAAAAAGTCATTCATTTGTGTCAAAAATGCTCATTCATTTCACATAATTGGGTATTCCCACAGCAGAATCAGATATTTAACAACAACAACAATAATAACAATAATTAAAACAGCAATAATGACAACAATGATAATAAAAMCAACAACAAATGTATTAAAACCCAAAACCCAACGCATGATTTCTCCTGCCACCATTTCCTTGAACGTCAGCCCGGCTTTCCCTTTCACTACAGCTGCTAAATAGATTATTCATGAGGTCTCTCACCACCACTAAACCATCCCTCCCATTGTTGCCAGCCCCTCATCGGTGTCACACGGATTTTCAGCGTCTGCCCATATCTGATTATCTGTGGAAACAACCTTTCAATGAGCCTTTTTACCGAGTCACTCCGCCGGGGAGCTTTGGCCGACTAATTTTAGTTTCATGACAACAACAATAAGGTCAAGTTGTATTTCTTGTGCTGCTTTTCACCCAGGCAGGCATTCCCGAGCCCCGGGAGCCTTGTGGAGGGGCAGATGTAGGACAGCATGGTTGTCACCACGGTGTGGCCGTGTCCCACATCCAGCTCTCCGTGGCAGCTGATTTGGGATGGAGCTGGGCAGGACTGGGAATTGGAAAATAAGATATTCTCTAGGTTTTTTTATTTTTTATTTATTTTTATTTTGAACACGTTGTGTAATATTTGGAGTAAAATATTCTCACCCGAGGGTGGGACGTGGTGTGGTGCGGGCAATAGAGAAGGTTCTGAAGAATTATCAAAATTGAACCTCAGCTGCTGGATTTGCCCCAAATCCCTGGAATAAACACGACCTGGGGAGAAGATAAGCTCCCTCACCTGAGTGTTTTAATTTGGAGAAAAAGAGGATTGGGGGCACCTTTTTTGTCCATAACTCCCTGATGGGATGGGGCAGCTGAGGGGGTTGGGCTCTGCTCCAGGGGACAGGGACAGGAGGAGAGGGAATGGCCTCAATTGCACCAGGGGAGGTTTTGGTTGGAAATCAAGAAGAATTTCTCCATGGAAAGGGTACTCAGGCTTTGGCAGGGGCTGCCCAGAGGGATTTGGAGTCCCCATCCCTGGAGGTGTCCAAGGAAGGCCTGAAAGTGACACTCAGAGCTCTGGGCTGGTGACAAGGTGGGGATGGGTCCCAGTTTGGACTTTATGATCCTGGAGGTCTTTTCCAGCCTCAGTGATTCCAGGATTCTGTGAAATCCACCTGGCAGCACCCAAAAAAAAAGCGACAGGTTTGGGCACAGATAGGATTTTCCCTGGCACCTCTGGCTGTGAAGGAATGCTGGACACAATTTATTGATCTCAACACCAGATTCTGCTGAGGACCCCAAAATTCCCACATCTGTCTGGTTGGGATTCTTCTCCCACAGAGGCCACATGGAATCTCTGTTTTCATGACCTGAAATTGCTCTTTTTCATCGTCATTTCGTGCCTGTTGCCAGTCCCCGAACACTTAACAACTAAAAAGACAGATTTGTCTGTGTTTGGTGATTTCTCTTGAAATACGAGGTCAGTCAGATCGTAGGATCAGCTCAACAGTAAATTAAAATTTAATCAGAACTGCCCTGATTGTCCCACAGAATAAATTTAACTATCACACATTGTTCAGTAGGGAGATATCTTTATACTTTACCCATATCCTCTGAAAATTTTCACAGGTCATGCTCCAATAAACYCAGTTTTGCTCTTCAACTCAGTTGGAATTCCTGTTCCTTAAGTGCAGAAGAGGCTAATCATAGAGCAGAAAATAATTTGACTTGCTAATACCAGGCGAGAAAACATTTACTGCGACCACAAATATTTTCAGGATGATGGAGTACCTCATGCTCATGAAAGCTTGGGTTCTGGGGACGTGTTTGAGGAGGGAGGGCTGCACTTTCTAGCAGAGGAAACCCGTGTCAACTGCAGCAGGCAGCTCCCTGTTTTCCTCCAAGTGCTGGAGCAAAAAAAAATGTTGGCATAGGAAGCAAAATCCTCCTGTTCAGTCGGGTCTGCCACCGGGTTTGTTAGGCATGAGCTCAGGAAAATCTTTATTAGGCATAAAAAATGAAAAGAAAATGAGGGGAAGATGTGTCTTGCAGACAGAAGGTGAATTCTGAGGTTAGGGAAGGGGTGGGTTATAAATACCTCGAGTCGAGTTGTGCTGCTCCAGCTCTTCTTCCCTGATGGTTCCCGGTTGGGAGCCGGTCAGAGCTGTCATTTTGGGGGTGCTGCTCCCCCATGGTGACATCAGGGGTCAGTCACGACCCTGGGAACCTCCAAAGCAGCAGCTGTGGGGTTTGGGATTGCAGTGGGAGTTGCAGAGCACCAGGAGCTGCCTCATGGCAAATCTGCTCCCAAAAACACCCCAGCTCCTGTACTGGGTGACAAATGGGTTTTTCTTTTCCCCTTCATGTTTTGCTCCCCTACCACCACCCCTTTTATCCCCTTTCTGGATGAGAAAGCTCTGTTTTCGTTCCATATGAATGTCCTTGCTTAGGAATGGACTCCCCTCGGAAAAATCCCCGAACTTTATGTCCCTCTGCATGTCCAGCGTTTTCACTCAAGGACAAGGGGRAATTGGGTTCAAACTGAGGGAGAGTAGGGMTRGATTRRAGATTAGAAAGGAATTCCTCCCTYCCACRGAAGCTGTGGCTGCCCCTGGATCCCTGGAGGTGTCCAAGGCCAGGTTGGACAGCGCTTGGAGCACCCTGGGACWGTGGAAGGTGCCCCTGCCATGGCAGGGGGTGGCACTGGATGGTTTTAAGGTCCCTTCCAACCCAAACCATCCCAAGGACTCTGATTACAAACCAGTGATACTCCTGTTACATCTGCAGGTGTAGCTGAGGGGCAGCTGGGGGGTCACAGCCTCAGTTGCTGTAGTAGGAGCCCCAAAAACCACGCAAACACTTCTCACCAGACTTGGATTTTACCTTAATTTCTTTCTGTTTTTATTTTATATTTTCCCCCTTTGCAAAATACACTGAGCCAGTCAAAGGAAGAAGTGCTTTAAGGGAACCTCCACCACCTTTTCTGYGTTTTGTTCCCTCTTCCCAAAACTGAAACACCAACAGCAAAGGACCCCTGACCCCATAGAATAAAGGGTGCAGTGACCCCCACCCCACCTCTCTGCAGCATCCCATGAGCCTCAGAGTTCTCATCTCAGCTCTGCCCGAGCTCCTTCAGGGACGTTTCCACCCTCCCAACGCGTGCGAGCGTCGCCCCAGRGCGACACGGAGCGGTGTCCGCGCGAGTGTCTCAGTGTGTTTTGTTCTGCTGTTTCCCCTTTTAGGTGACAGCGAGATTGTAAATAATATGTACGAGACCGACCCCGATCTCCTTGCTGGYGAAAGCGCAGAGGAGGAAACTGAGGACAGTATAATGTCCCCCATCCCTGTGGGACCTCCGTCACCCTTCCCCACCAGTGAGGACTTCACTCCCAAGGAGGGCTCACCCTATGAAGCTCCCGTCTACATTCCTGATGACATTCCAATCCCACCAGATTTTGAACTCAGAGAATCTTCGATCCCAGGGGCAGGGCTAGGGATTTGGGCCAAAAAGAAGATTGAAGTTGGGGAAAGATTTGGACCCTATGTGGCAGTGCAGAGGAGCGCGTTAAAGGAAGCGAGCTTTGGATGGGAGGTAAGCGTGCGGGATGTGGGYGCCACGGTGCTTTGTCTTCTCTGCATCCCCGTTACCTGCAGGATTCAAAATCAGCAGAAATCCCTTTCCAAGTTCACTCCTCRGGCCGCAAAAAACCGCTGGAGCGCCGTTTTTGGGAAGTGTGTTTTTTGAGCGCTGTCGGGTCACTCCATCAAGTGCTTGTCATTTCCAAATGGTGTTCGGGAGTTGTCGTGTGGAGGGAATGGGATTAATCGCATCATGTTTGGTGGTTGGGGCTGTTACCTTTGACTCCCAGCCCGTGTCAGCGGTGCAGGCATTATTAACTGGGCAGGGGAAAATCGCATGTACCCATTAACAGCCCCGATGTTCTCGAGTTCTCGCGCTGCGGCAGAGAGGGAGAAATGTGAAAGTCATTTTTCCCTGCCAGCTGCGCAAAACCACTGCTCTCCTCTTTCTCCCTGCTCTGCTGGGCTCGCCTTTTTCAKCTCAGCCTCTTCTGCTCCTGGATTCTTCATTTGTAGAATTTGTAGATTCCCTAATTATCCTGAAATATTCTGAGAGCAGTGAAATAGAGCCTGAGATTCCCGTTCTGTGCTCACAGTCCTGTCCCAGCACACCCAGTGTCCATCAGATCACAAAAAATTCCTTCTCTCCAGCCCCAGAGCCCACCCCAACATCCCATTCCCCTGCTGCCATGGGAGCTGCTGGTTCCTGCCCTGAGGAAGAGGCAGTGAAGGCAGGGACGTTTCCTGGAAGGATTTTTCTGTAGGACAATCCCTCAGAAAAAGTGGGAGCTGAATTTTCCCTCAATTTTCCCGGGTGAAACAGTGACTTTCCCTGTTTTCTCCATCAGCCACTGCTGGGGTGGTTCACAAAATCCTGGAGGGTTTGCAGGGTGGGCAGCAGCTGAGGGCTGAAAATGAAAAGGTTTTCCCAGGGAGAAGGCACCAGAGCAGTCACAGAGCTCTGTTTTCTCAAAAACCCGGGTCAGAAACGCCAGAGCTCAACATTAACAGTTGAAATTGTCTCTGATTATATTTGCATTCCCGACTGTGATGTCAAAAATCAGCGAGCAGCGAGACACAGTGAAACCCACAGAAGTAGGTCCAGATGTTTTTGTTTGGTTCACCTTYTCAATGCGTCCAAAGTGCAGGAAACAGCAACAAACTCTTGTTTGAAGAACCAAACTCAATTGTGTTTTGCTGCTCTGCAGTAGGAAGTGTCTGAAGAGCTAAAATCAGGGTTGGTTGAATGATTGAGTGGAGAGTTTCCTTTTCCTTCTGTCCTAGTGCAGGGAAAGGAGGGGAATTCAGATGAGTTTTGATTCCCTCTCTCTGTTCCGGTGACATTCCTCGGAAGTTTCTCTTGGTGTTGGCTTCTATTGTGAACAGCATCGCAGAATATTCAATTGCTATTACTGTATGAGCACCAAAAAGGGTTTTTTTTGGGGGGAAAAAAAAAAAAAATCTCTGTTCTTATCCTGGCAATACATGGTTCAGTTCAGGGGGGCTGTTGGTGTGAAGCAGCTCAAGACTCCTGGGGAAGGTATTGGTCACTCCATGGTATCTGTGAAAATAATGATAATTTTCCTCTAGGAATATGCAATATGAATTATTTTTAGGCTGCAATGTGAAAGATGAATCGTCTTTTTCTGACCCAGTTATTGATAGGTGGCCTTTGTTGTTTCCATTTATATTTTGGTTCATTATTTTATTTTAAGGCTGACTTTTAGGAACGAAGTGCAATCCTCCTTGACAGAAGTCGAGAAGCGCAAACCTTTCTTTCTGTGACCTTGGCAAAACATTGTCCTTGCGCTTTATATTCCTGATAAAAGTTGATATTTACACTCGTGATTTTCAGGAAGGSTCCTCACATCCCCACTGCTCTGAGTGCTCTGATAGGAGCCCTATTCACCAATTCYTGTTGACTTTGTGGCACTGTTTGTTTTTGTGGTGTAATTGAGCAAACTTTCCCTCTCTGGGGCACTTCTCCGGTCCCAGCAGTGTTCCTTTGTCCCCTGCCCTGGCAGGGACATTTCACACCTCAAAGGAAGGGCATTGTCCTCCCTCAGGTGTCCCCAAACCCATCCCAACACTCTCTGCTCRTCCTTGCTGTCACCTCTTGCAGTTTCCCATTTCCTGTGGAATTTAACAATTTTTAGCAATCTGTTTCCAGTCAGTGCCTTCAGAATTTCCTTTTGGAGCAGCATCCACGAATCCTTTCACGGGCTGATCAGGAATTCGTGGAATAAATGTGTGATGGTTTCTGAGCTGTTCCCTTGCAGTGGCAGGTTGGAAATGATGCTCTAGGAGATGTTCTAGGCAGCTCTACCTGATGGTAAATCAGGAAATTGTGACTGGGGACTTGTTTCCATCCTCTGTTTATAAATCTGAGCAGCCAGGCCATGGACAGTGAGGGAAAAAAGGGAAAGGGGAGGAGTTTATTTGTCACCCAGTAACTCATTGGGTTTTGCTTCCATTGTGCTGTTTCTTTCAGTTGTGATAATTATAAAAAATCTGGGATTTGTAGCGCCATGGGGAATGTTCCTTCTGCAGTTTGCCATTATTATTATTATTTTTTTTTGATCAGTATTTTTCTGGAATTTGTAGTTTTGGCTTGCAGTGATATGGGGGCTGAATGCTGCTGTAAGGTTTCCACACACTCCTTGTCAATTTGAATATCTCACATTTGAATATCTCACTTTTGAATATCTCACATTTGAATTTTCCCTCCTCTTGGGAATTAACTCCAGGAATGATACCTGTTCTTCACACCCAACCTCTTCTCCATTCACATTCCTTGGTTCATTTCCTTCCTCATTTCCGTTTCTAGCCGTGACAATCCCACTTTTTCACTCTTCTCACATTCTGAAAACCTGGTCTTTTTTGTTTGTTTTTAGCAGTGTCAGTTCCTTAATTTGGGTGGGGTTTCTGCCTTTGGCACAAGAAGTTCCTGCCCTTTATCGCAGGAAATTTCTTGTCAGGCTTTGACTAAACTGGGAGTGCCACTGGAAGTGACATTGGCTGCACAGTGGCCATTCCTCAGCWCCATCTCAGTTTTGCTGGAAAATGCTCATTTTGTTGTTGTACAGGACATGCATCGTAATTAATGTCTGTTCCTTCTGCATTAAAAAAAAATTCCAACATTTTGGGGGTTGGAAAATGTGCAATTAAGGGCTTTTTGAAAATGAATCCTTCCATCCAAGGATTACCCATGCAGAAAGAGCTTTCTCTTTTCAAACTCCAGTAAGCGCAGAGCTGTGAAAATGAAAATGAAACACAGCAGTGAAATGTCCCTCAAAGTCCTCAGGAAATCCAGTTTGTGTTTGGAGTTTCTTTCCATCCAAATTCCTCACTCCAACACTGGAGTTGCCAAAACTTTCAGATTCATTAACTCATTAATAACCTAAAACATCCATGGGGATGCAGAAAGCTGAATTTTACCTGCCATACCTTGAAAAAAGATGTTATCTTTATTCTACTATTTCAAATTATTTTATTTTATTTTATTTTATTTTATTTTATTTTATTTTATTTTATTTTATTTTATTTTATTTTATTTTATTTTATTTTATTTTATTTTATATTTTAAATTTTTTAGCTTTAATTTTAATTTTAATTTATTTTAATTGTTTTTATTTTTATTTTTACTTTCATTTTCGTTTTATTACAATAATAGTATATAATACGTTATACATTATATACTATATATAATATAGTATATAATAATAATAATATAATATTTTATTATAATATTATAATTATTCACTTCACTTTCAGGCAGCCAGGAGGGCTGGGTTGGGATGGTCTGAACACGTTTCCTCCCTTATCTGAGGCACAGCTCCGTACCTCACCTCCTGCTCTGCTTTGTGGCATTTAATATTTTAAAAATAACATTCTTTGAATTAAACCACACCTCTCATTCAAGGGCTTTTTGGACGGGGGATGGCAGTGAGTGATTCACGCTCACCTCATAAAAATAAATCAGATTTGTCAATCCTGCCCCCAGCCCCTCCCAGGGGTGATTCAGTGGCTCCTGTGCAGGACCTGTTGGGTGCTTTCCCTCCTTCCCTGACACTGCTGTGTCATTCCACCTTTTATTTTGTGCCTTAAAAGTCATCACCCCACCTCAAACCCTCGTAATGATGGGGTGTGACAGGATTGCATCTCCCCTGACCCCATCCTCCCCTGCCTGCTGACACAGAACGCAGCGCCAAAATAAAATGGCCCAAATAAATCACAGAGTGTTTGGCTTTACCGCCTCCAGGACCCGTGAAAAATGAAAATAAAATAATCACAGCATGATTTTGATCACTTCAGACTCTTAAAAAGATTAAAATACCTTCAAAATTAAAATATATTTGAAACAATATATTTTTGAACAATCTTGAAAGTGTTAAAATAGGAAGGAGCCTGAAAGCGTGGCTTGAACTGCGATGGTTTTGTCTTATTTCCCATTATGATAAAATTAACGGCGCTGTTCCTTTTCCTAATTGAGGGAGAATGGGAATCTCATCCTGGAGGGAAATTTAGCACCTGAGTTGTAGGAGATTTGGGAGCAATCATAGTTAATTCCATTTGCTTTTCAGGGTAAATACCACTGATAAATGCACTTCGTTTTAATTTATATTTTAATTTATGTTTTAATTTATATTTTAAGAGAGGCTATTTGCTGAAGCACAAGGGCTTTTCTCAGCTGCAGTGTCACAGCCAGGCTGCTCCTTTACATAGGGAAAATAAATAAAATGCTTTAATTTCCTACTTGAGGGGGGAAGAGAGAGGCTGTCCCATGGGTGACAAATAACTGGGAAAAAATGGGAGCCAGAAGCTGAGGATGCAACAGAATTCTGGCTCCACATCGGGGAAAACTGCTGGGTTTAACATCCTTTAACGTGTCACAGATACACAGCAATCCAACCTCCCTGTTACCCCAAAATGGGAGAATTAAATTTTAACATGGGTTTGTTTTTTAATTTTGTCTGTTTTTTGGAAATACTCCTAAATGCCAAGGGAAATTTA